AACCTAGAGGGCCAACTTCTGGAGGAATACTCCTCTATTCTCAAATGTGAAGATGTCTTGTGGAAAACTAAGTCTAGGATCAACTAGCTGATGGAGGGTGATGCTAATACTAGATTCTTCCATACTTCAACCCTCAATAGGAGGAAAAGGAACAAAATTATGGTCGTAAAGGATAAAGTAGGAAACTGGATTGAAGGGCAATAGGAAATCCAGAACACCATTTACCACTACTACTCCAAGAGGTTCACCACAGAACACATAGACTCCCCCACTCCCTGGAAAAGCATATTCTATGATGCCCACACTCTGTGCAATATGGAGCAAATTACTCCGAGTGCTCCCTTAAGGAGTAGTGAAATAAAGGTGGCCATGTTCTCTTTCAAACCTACTAAGGCCCCTGGACCTGATGGTCTGCACCCCCTCTTTTACCAAATATACTGGAATATCCTATAAAGCAATGTGACTCAGTTCTGTAACCAGACCTTTAACACCCTAGAAATGAAGTCTGAAGTTAATACAACCTACCTATGCATGATTCTTAAGTATGCCAATGCCACAATCCTTATGAATTTTAGACCTATAGGGCTATGCAACACTATGATTACCAAAATAATTGTCAATAGAATCAAGCCAGTTCTTCCTTCCATCATTGGCCCAAGTCAGGCCAGTTTCCTGTCCAACATATGGGTCAGTTATAATGCCATCATAGTCGAGGAATACATCAGACACTTTACTAAGATATAAGGGAAAAATGCTAACATGGTCTTCAAAATTGACCTAGAAAAGGCATTTGACAGACTAGAATGGTCCTTCATCAGAGACACCTGGTGTCCTTTGGCTTTTCCCACAATATGACCAAATTAATCATGTCATGCATTTCTTCAACCTCTATTTCTATACTGGTAGATAGGAGTAGGACTGATTTCTTCCAGCCTAGTAGGGGTATCAGTCTGGGAGACCCTATGTCACCTTACATTTTCATAATGTGTATAGAAAGGTTATCAAGGAGCATTGAGATTCATGTGCATCAAGGGGGTTGATTTCCCACCAAAATCAGCCACACTAGGCCAAAAATCTTACACCTATTCTTTGCTGATGACCTAACTTTGTTTGCTAGGGCAAACACTAAGAATTATGCCACAATCATGGATACTCTATACCATTTCAGTAGCCTATCTGGTCAAAAGGTCAATACCATAAAGTCCAAAGTTGTCTTCTCCAATAACTGCCACCAGTATACGATAGATAGCTTAGCAAGGACTCTGAATATCAAGCCTAACTCTTCCTTTGGGAAATACTTAGGCTTTTCAATTTTTCACAAGAGGCCAACCAATAGAGATTTTCAGTTCATCATAGATAGCATGCAAACTAAGATAACATGAACATGGCTGGGAGAACTACATTAGCTAAGTCATCACTAGGGTGTATTTCTAGCCATGTCATGCAGTACATAGGTTACCTGCCCAGGTGTACAACCCAATAGATAGGATTCATAGGAATTTCATATGGGGAACCACTGCCGAGAAGAAGAAAATGCATCTGATTAAGTGGGTTATCATTACTAAGCCTAGAGAAACAGGGGGTTTTAGTGTGCATAAAGCTGACCTCAGGAATACTGCCAGCCATGCTAATTTGGCTTGGAGGATGTATAACAACCCTTAGGACCTGTGGGCCAGAGTGTTGTTCCACAAACACTGCAATAGCAATCACCATGGCAGGCACATTGCCTCCAGAACCTGGACTAACATAAAAAATGAGTGGAAAGTGTGCATATATGCTAATAGGTGGATAGTGCATAAAGGTAATAGAATCAATATCTATAATGATAGATAGATCCAAAATTGAAAACCCCTTAGAGCTTTAATTAGTGCCCCCCTTAACAGGGGAGAAGAGAACAGAACTTTGGCCACCTGTCTTCTTAATGGCCAGTTCATCCCCAACAGGCTTCCCTTTAACCTCCCTGGCAGTGTGATGCTAACCCATTTAGTATAGACAAAATGGTGTGGAACAAGACCCATAATGGTCTATTCCCCACCAAAACGGCCTATGCCATGATCCTTGACCAATATGAGAATCTGCACCAAAGTTCAGGTCTGAATTTCACTTGGATTTGGTCAAACAAGGTGCCTAAAAAGATAAAATACTTCTTGTGGCTGCTGACTCATGACAGACTCCCCACTACAAAGCACCTGCAAAACAGGGGGATCAATTTGAATCCAGGTGTTTCTTTTATGACAAATAGGATGAATCAATTGAGCATGCCACAGTCAGCTATGAGATTGACAAACTATTTTGGGATAACCTATCCCACATGAGCTTAAATAACTTTAGAATCAACACCATTATGAATAAGTAGAACAACTAAGAATGGACCAATAATACTATCTACAATAAAAAATTCAACTCACTCCTCAAATGGGGAGAGTAGATCCCTTTCGGCCTATGGGAGATTTGGCTAACCAGAAACAACAATTGCTTCAATGGAAAGAGAGAGCCTATCTCCCTGTAAAAATGCCATAACTAAACCTGTTGAGTTCATCCATGTGGCTGGGGAAAGCAATGGCATCACTACAAATATCCAGTATGTCAAGTGTCATCCTCCAAGGAGAGGCCACTATAAACTCAACACAGACGGGACAACCCTTCAAAATGGCCGTATAAGGGGGAGTAAGATGAGTAATCCGAAACAACAATGGGGATTGGGTGTTGGGATTCATGGAAAAAATAAATTATACTAATACACTTCACTCTGAACTAACAGCTCAAATGCAGGGACTAAAAATGGCAGTATCGAACAACTTCATGCCCTTGAAGGTCAACAGAAATTCAACAGAGCTAATACACAATATCAATAAAGGCAATCTGATTTATGAGGCTATTGTATGTGAATGCAGGTCACTCCTAACAGCACTGGGGCATCCACGAGTAAACCATATCTACAGGGAAACCAACAGGGTGGCGGACAAGCTGGCCAAAGAAGCAAGCAAGGAAAGAAAAATAAGGGGCTGTAATATTTAAAATGTAGCAATAGACTACAATCTTTTTGTGAAGACTGAGACATCCCTGAATGTTGCTGTTGTAACAAACAACCAAGCAGATTTTATTAAAGCTAATACTCTATTTAATAGGCAACAATTGAGTAATTTTATTGCTCCAAAAGAAATAAAAGTGATTTTAATAGATTAATTCCATAAGTTACGCAGGGACAACTCAACAGATTTTATGGCCAATATATTAAAAGACCCTTAAATTTCTTTTATAAAATCTATATAATAATGAGATACAAAGCAAACTCCTAGGACTTTGACCTAGTGGTAACTGTACAATGCATGATGTGTGTATTAGGTGCACTTTATAGTTTGAAAATAAAAATATGGCATTAATTAAGTGGAAAAAGGTAGAGGGGGCACGACGATAATCTATCGATTTTCGAACCTTGCGCCCCATTGCATTTGAGGATTTCTCTTATAAAGATAAACAAAAAATAATTACTTTTTAATGGATGTATCAATAAACTATGATGAAAAGAATTAGCCAATTCAGTGAAACGGAGTTAAAATTTAAAAGTGAATCATTCGAAACATAAAAAAATATGAGTGTACATAGAGGAGAAAAAAATTAAATTTGATAATATTCATGATCATATAATTAAATAAGAGAGAAATTTATCGTTATTTATCACTCAACTGTATAACTTTAATTAACACTTTTAACATATTTTATTAATAATAATTACATAAAATATATATGACAAGTTGTACTTATAATTGGGCCCTTAATATTTTGGGGCCTTAGGCAATGACTTCATTTGCCTTACTCTCAGGTCGCCCCTGAAGTTAGGTGAATTATCTCAAAGAATCAATTAGCAACTGTTAGCCACAATTTTCTTGAGGGTTGAATGAACGACGAAATTCATGATTCTTAAGTCAAAAGGAAGAAGAAAAGAAGACGAGAGATTTAAAGATGACCACGAGGTCAACGTCTTTCACCTCAGAAAATAAGCTTGACGTGGCATGCATGGGTTGGCCACTATCTCAAAATGACATTAATTCATTCAACTTTGCATTCTTGTTGCAGGAGAGATGGCACTTTTCAGTGACATGATGCCCGTCGTTTCTGTTTGCATAAATATACTTCATTATTCGCTTCACAAAGGTCAGGATTTCTGGTCATTTCCATACACTACAAATAGTAAATTTTCTTATGGATTTTCTTATGATTTACATTTATTGATCATGACACATACTCTTGTTGCTTACAATCTTCGTTTACTCTGTACATGCATTTGAGTAATGCTTAGGCGATTTTCGAATTTAAAATACTAGTGAATTAAAGAATGAGCTAGCTGTGTGATCTTATCAAACATAGTTCAAGCAGAAAGCAATGCGTTCTGTTGAACAGTTAAATCCATCTATTATAATGAATACCACTAGTCCTACTTCGTGAACAGGGATAAGCATTAGCAATCTTCAAGGTGTCCGAATTGGACAGAAATCTTTTGGCCCAACTTCAAAGATTTTGAGCCTAACATTTCAATTTGCAACCAGGTTATTTCTTAACAAACACCAGGTAGTTATTATAGAGGGCTGCTATTTAAAATTTAGCCAATATATCTTGAATTTCAGTTTTTCAGTTCAATTTTCAGGATATTGTGTCCGGAAGTTAAAATTTTTAGTTCAAATTTTCAGGACAAAATAAGTACTGACTAATCTCTAAATAGCAGCCCTAGAAACGACTATTTGTGTACTTTTCCCCAAATTTATGGAGTAGTAAATATGTAGTTTGCAGGCCAGAATGACTTCCATTTATCAATACATAGAAGTTCCCAGCAAAATGGTTTTCATCAAGTCATGTTTTTTCTTTTATAACCTCAAAATATATGCTTGATAATATTTGAGCTAGATTTTTGCACAATGTCTTGCATGCAAATGCTATTACAATGATGACACAACATATCATATAGGAACAGTTTGTATATTTCAATATACATCCGCTTTCATAAAAGGAGGAGACATATGCATGCATCTTCTTTTTATTTTGTTTCCTTTTTATAAATCATAACATGGACAAGACAAGAATCAAAACGTAGGATATACACAAAAGAACTATAGGCGGACATTTTGGTATCAGAAAATCATTGATTCTCGGGTTAATGAAATGAAAAGCTCCCATAAATTAGGATGATATATCAACTCATTTGTTTATACGTGCTCAGTAAAAGCACAAGAGAATGCTTTAGGAAGTTGGGGGAAATTTGGAGCAGATTGAACCCTCCTATGAACCAAATGAGTCTCCATAATATCAATTTCCCACAAAGTAGATTTCTTCCTATGGGGAACATCATGGGTGACAAGATTTCTCCATGGGGGTATTCCTCCAAAGGGTCTCAGGAAATGGCCATATCGCGTCTTTAGGCGAATTTGATATAACGATCCATCTTGTTCAACCTCCCATTCTGTTGCGGAACTCAACTTTTTGGGCAGAGTTTGAATGACCTTTCTTGATCTACTGACCTGTTGAAACATAATATAATTAAGTAATTAAAAATTATATATGGTCTTTATCACACTTTAGGCTTTCAGATGAAATGATATAGTAGCCAACTTAAAATTTTGAATCTTGAATACCTTAGGAAGAAATGGAACATTTGAAGCAGTCAAGTACTTGCCATAACAACTTTTAAGGCGCAGGTAATGTTGGTTATCAACAAATTCCACAGACCAAAGTGCATTTACTGATGAGCCATCACGACTTTGGCGTACAGATTTCTCATCTTTGCTTGCTATTAGGTATTTGCCATTGTGAGTTTTGAGACGAATGATTTTTGCCTTCTCCAACAAGTGCTCCATCTAATTACAAGGTTGAAAAGAAGGTTCAATTCTCTCAAGCCAAAAGGACAATTCTTGAAAAGAGTTTAGGCCAAAAAAAAAACTCTTTTTTACGATCTATGATGATGGCAAATGGTGATGTTCAAAAAGCCCTTGTATAGGCATGCATGTAAGAATTGATGTGCATATAAATTAAGAAGGGTCTTTTGAAGTAAAGGAAATGAGGGTCTTTTGAAGTAAAGGAAATGAAAGAATAAAAAATCTTTAAGTACCACTTCAAATGAAATTGCAAAATACCTTTTGGTTGTTGTGATATGCTTACTCTTTTGTTTCATGCCCGTCTTTATTGTATGGCCCAGATACATTGGAGGAGAAGATTTCGGAAGTGGGCTATGTATAACTTTTAAGGTTGGTTCAATACGTGTGGGGGGAGAATTTCAATATTCTAAGCCGTATATTTTAATTTAGGATTTAAATTATATACATCTCATACACCAACAAAGTTCATTGGTGTAGTATTCGATCAACACTGGACGGTAACCCATCGGTAAAAATTTAGTCGCACTTGATATTTATACTAAATTATATTAATTTACTATTAACTATAAATACTTTAGTGATACGAATGTATGTGAATACAAATATTATGTATTCATTAAATTGATATAAATACCGCCTGTTCGTAAGTTTTCCTAATCGACGTTATGTTTAACAAATAGCCGAGGTCAGGGATCTCTCTATGATACTAGTAGTATTAACATGGGCATAACGTTATTGTTAATTCTCAGTTTGAATGCAGCTGGTTGACTGTAAATAAGGTAAGAAAACAAAAAAGTTAAGCTACGCAATGCTACCAGTCGAGAATCTAACTAGATAACAAGTAAATGTCGAAATGCTCTAATTCTTCCAGTATTAAAAATTAATTAAGATGCAGACACAGTATAAAATATTCAAATTGTTTTTTCATGTTGTAGTTTATTCTTTGATTAATCATTTGACAGTTTAATAATGCCCTAAATCAACCATTGCAGCTACTCACGTAAACTTAGATTCCAAAGCATTTGTGCTGTGAAATTTGGCACTTGTCNAGTCTCATGCTTCATAAATCATAATCGCAATGCCACTAGAATCACTAATTGTTTTTTAAAAAAAAGTTGTTAGGCGAGAGGTAGATCGTTACTTCTAAAAAAAGAATGGACTGATTCAAAGTTTAATCAATATGCTATCGACTATGTTAGCAGTTGCAATTTGGCAACCCCCCCCCCCCCCCCCCCCCCTTTTTTTTTTTTTTTTTTTTTTTTTTGAAACGCAAAAATCTATTAGGGATTAACAAAGGAAAAAAGTGCTTAAAAGAACAATACATTGGCCCTAGGTTTGTGGGTGAGTTAGAGCCTTTTCTGGACACTGGATTTCCACGGAAGTAGATCAACTTAGTTCCAGGATTGAGCTTTATAATTTTTTAAAAGTGTTGATTTTTAATTCATCTATCACATAAGAGCCTGCACGAAATATTTGATTTTGTGGTCAATCTGGGACCAACGAAGGACAGAAGGCATAACCATTTGTAAGACAACAACCTTTGCTTTCATGTCAAAAGATATCTTGGGGATTGCTATATTATATACTTCAATATATTTTTAATAAATGGATTTAGACTTAAAACACTATGGTTTAATTCTTTTACACTATGCTCAAGTTACTTAGAAGCAACTACATGCATTTGTATATAATAACGATCCATAATTCGAAAAAGAAAGTACTCCATATATTACCCCACTTAAAAATTATAGTGATAATGTAATTGTGCTTTTTAGTTTAGTGAATATGATTCTAATCAATTTGAAAATTTTGATGTATCATAAATCAAATGGAGCCCAAATTACGGGATGCGACTTTGATGTAAGATGAAAAGATATACTCCGTCCGTCTCATATTAACAGTCGTGATTACTAAAAATAATTGTCTCAAATTATTTGTCATTTTAGAAGTTCAAGACAAAATTGGTTGTTTTTTTTCCTTTTTTACCCTTAGTAATAATTGTTCTTGAAGATAAAATAACACATAAATAGAATAAATATTCAATAAAAAGAGATTATATCTTAAGACATAAATAATGATAGAATGGTTTAATTTCTTTCCTAATTAATATTTCTTAAGGGACGTGTAAAAAAAAAAAATAACACACATAATATAAAACATAGGAAGTAAGTACTATTACAAAAAGGAAAAAGTTAATGCTAAAGTCATAGATTTCATTTCACAGAGTCAACATATTAATTACCTACCCTCGTATCTGCCCGTTACGCAATTAACATCTTCCGTGCATTAATAACATTTGTTTCACACCTTACCCTTCCTTAACATCTATACTTTCTTCCTCAATTTGCTGATCTTGTCACATCTCAGGAAACTGATTTATCCACCTGGATCCTCCTCTTCACTAAATACTCAACAGGTGGAAATCTAGATCAAAAAGATAATTTCTTTTTTGGATATCTGATTCTTAAAAAATTTCCCCATTTTTGTTTATCCATTGCAGAATTCTGAGATGGAATATTTCCAGAAAGCCAAATCCGTCAGGTTAAGGAGCCACCACGAGAAATTCTTATTAGCTGATCCTGATCAAGAAACCGTATACCAAGATCGCACTGGATCTTCAAGGAGTGCTAAATGGACTGTTGAATTCCCTGAAGGATTCGACAATGTTGTCCGATTAAAGAGTTGTTATGGCAAATACTTAACAGCCTCAGATGAACAATTTCTCTTTGGTGTAACGGGTCAAAAAGTTGTACAAAGTTTGCCTAATAAATTGGATTCATCAGTTGAGTGGGAACCAATGAAAGAAGAAGGTTCCCTTGTAAAGCTGAAAACTAGATATGGGAATTATTTAAGGGCAAATAGTGGATTACCACCTTGGAGAAATTCAGTTACACATGATATACCTCATAGGCATCAAGATTGGATCTTATGGGAAGTTGATACTGTTGAGTTATTGCCAGCTGAATCGCCTGAAAGCATTTCGAGATCAGAATCAGTGGGTGATGATTTGAGCTCATCTTTTCATCTTACCACTGCTAAATTTTCCAGGACTAAGGTTTGTCTTTTATATTGGCTCTGTTTATTGTACATTTTTATGCCAAATGAAATCTTCCTTATGGTAATAGATTTAGGATTCGTTTGGTTCGTGGACAAAATTATGCTCGGATTAATAATCCCTGAATTATATAGTACTTGTGACGGGGGCGAAGCTATGTTGGCCCAAGGGTGGTCAACTGACCACTACTCATTATTGATTTAAAATAGACTTTGAACACCCTTGCATAGCTCACTGGCAAAAGGTGTTCAAAATTTGAACACCCTTATTGAATTTCCTGGCTTCGCCACTGACTTGTGATTTATTTGGTTCATTATATTAAAAATGAGGTATTCCGTGTATAATCTGAAACTGGTATTTGGTTTTAAACTGGATAAATCTTGATAAACTTTTGTTTTCAATTTTTACCTTGACCTTCTTAAGAAAAGGGTTTTGGTGGAAGGGCAACAATTTCCTTGTTTAATCCAGGTGTGACTAATCCTTGGTTTGTTATCCCACATTGGTTGTGCCATAAAATTATATCAGCATTCCAACATAGTTAGTAGTATTACTTATACCAAAAAAGTATATAAAATAATTCCGAATTTCATTATTTCCATAATCTATTTAACTTATAGACACTGCAACAGGTTACTTACCATCTTTTGTAGGTTATCGATCTACGCTTGATTTTAGAAAGTTATCTGTGATTGACTTTTAAGTGTTTCATAATGAAAAGATTATTCACACTGGGGTGTATAAACCTAAACTCATGGATTTCTATTAAACATGCAGTCCACAGTGAAGTCTGAAGGTCGGCTAATCTATTATCATGTGGCGGATGAAAATGGAAATGCGAATGATTCAGTGGAAGGGCCTTCTTTTCAGTTCAAAGGTCATGGATTAGAGGAACTGACTCAAAAGTTGGAGGAAGAAACAGGTCTGGAGAATATTATTGTTTGTTCGCGGAACAAATTTAATGGAAATTTATATCCTCTTCGTTTAGCATTACCTCCAAACAATGCAACTATGCATGTTGTTGTAATACCTGCATCGTCTAAAGGTCAGCATACTTGATCCTCTTTTGGATAATGTACTCTTCCTTTTCTTTTCATTAACCAGCTGGATAAACTTCTGCAAGTTGCATGAGACACATTATTTTTAACCGCAATGTGATTCTACAATGTGTTGTAAATTTGTTACTTGGTCTTTTCGTGTATGATAACAAGTCTATGAAAACACTAGTCTTTTCATCTAAAAGTGAAATTACTAAGTTCATATCGTTCATCTATCCTTGAGTATTGCCAGATTATATGTTTTCATGCCCAAGACACTAACACTCTGTGATAAGGGACAGTCATTAGGCCTTTAATCTATTTGAATAAAAAGTGTGCAATAGTTATGATGGAGAGTACAGAATGCTATAAATTGAGGAATGAAAGATTAAAACAAAGATCTTTAGAGTTGGTTGCTTTCTTGTCTAAAGGTTTGGCTTTTGTTTGATCAAGAACATTAGTCCTCAAATTAATCCTGTTCGACTGTGCAATATTCTATTTCAGCATTGCTTTGACCTCTGTTTGTTGGTGTTTTCTAAAGTTGTATTTTGATCCTGCATCTTGTTTCATGACTTGTTGACGACAATGGCATTTTGCTGGTGGACAGTGGCAAAAGAACTGATGGCAGATGTTCCCACTTCCAAATGGTCGGTGGTGAAGACTCTATCGTGAAACGTTATGCTTGCCAACTAGAAAGTAAATTCAAAATCATTTCCAGGATTGTGCCTAGCATTTCTTTCTTTTTTTGGCTGTATTTAGGTTTTAGCAATGGTGATGCAACCAAGAGATAGTATGTTTGCCGCTTCCAATTGAGAGCGTTATTTATTTGTTGAGAGTTGACAAATGCAACTCTCCTTGCTTGTATATTTTGGTTACTCATCTTTTGGAGTCGAGTTGAAATATCCAGTCTTTTCACTTGCAGTAATTGTCTTTATTACTTTCTGTTCCTTCTTTTTGAACCTGTAACTTCTAAGAGAACTGAGATATAAAAAGCCAATGCAGAGTCATATAACATTTTACAACAAGATATCCTTGAACTCCAATAACTGTAATTGATTCTATATGGTTCAACTGAACATATGACAGGAAATGAATTTGAAGTTGAAAAGCAGCTGAACTAGGTGAAGTTTAAGGAATTGCACATATTTTAAATGTCAAATCAAATTCTATTGTTGACATGTAAATTATATTGATGGATAAGTAAGTAAATAGAAAACAGCTATAACCGAATAAGTGGTGTCAGAGCGACTAAAATCATGGATTCAACTTCATCACTGTGATGTTGCTATAGATGAGTAACTTCAACATGGTCTAGTCTTTGACCCTGGAGGCAGGCACTAGTTATTTTTCAAAATCTGCAAGGGTGTGGAGTTAGTGCTGATGAGTACTATTTGACCATTGCACTTGCAGCCTGTGTTCATTTTGGGGCTCTTGATCAAGGGAAGTTGATTTGTGATTATATTATGGCGACTAATTGATTGGACTCAGATGTGATTATTGGCATTGTACTTGCTGATATATGATGTTTAAGCAGAGTATTGGTGTTGTCACTCGGCTATTAGAAAGATCCCATATATAAACCACATGCCTCAGTATGGGGCGGGTTGTTGAGTGGCTACGTAGTGTTGCTCTTGCAGAGCTTGCTGTTAAAGAGAGCTTGTTGGTAGAAGATGGCAATGTAGCTGTAGAAGATTTTGCTTCTCTTCAGTTTTCCTATGTATATATTTGGCCGCATGACAAGGCGAAGATGCACGTAGATTCAGAAGGATGATTGGTGAGAGAGGGAAAGAAGACACCCTTGTTGCAGCTCAATTTGAGATTGATGAGGTGATTGCATATATAGATGACCTGTATGGAGCTATCCACCTTTCGGAGATTGATCTTCGGTCTGCTCATCAACATCTTAGAATTAGGGAAGAAGATATACTTAAGATAGTTTTCAGGACAGATTTTAGGAGTTTTTTGTGATGTCCTTTTGACTGACAAACTATGTTACTCGAATGTTTCAAAAACGTTGCCTCACTCGTGTTAGATTCTCCACAAATATCCTTGGGATTTATCTTAGAGCTAGCTGACATACACATTCTGCTCAATTTGTTGTCTCTTGACACTGAGTTCGTCATTTACTTCAACCCTCAATAGGAGGAAAAGGAACAAAATCATGGCCGTGCAGGATGAAGTAGGAAATTGGATTGAGGGGCAATAGGAAATCCAGAACACCATTTACCACTACTACTCCAAGATGTTCACCACAGAACACCTAGACTCCCCACTCTCTAGAAAAACATAGTCTATGATGCCCATACTATGTGCAATATGGAGCAAACTACTCTGAGTGCTCCCCTAAGAAGTAGTGAAATAAAGATGGCCATGTTTTCTTTCAAACCTACTAAGGCCCCTGGACCTAATGGTCTGCACCCCTTCTATTACCAAAGATACTGGAATATCCTGTAGAGCAAAGTGACTCAGTTCTGTAACCAGATCTTTAACACCCTAGAAATGAAGTCTCAAGTTAATACAACCTACATATGCTTGATTCCTAAGTGTGCCAATGCCACAATCCTTAAGAATTTCAGACTTATTGGGCTATGCAACACTATGTACAAGCTGATTACCAAAATAATTGTCAATAGAATCAAGCCAGTCCTTCCTTCCATCATTGGCACAAGTCAGGCCAGTTTCCTGTCCAACAGAAGGGCCAGTTATAATGTCATCATAGTTGAGGAATACATCAACCACTTTACCAAGATAAAAGGGAAAAATGCTAATATGGTCCTCAAAATTGACTTAGAAAAGGCATTTGACAGACTAGAATGGTCCTTTATCAGAGACACCTTGATGTCCTTTGGCTCTCCCCACAATATGACCAAATTAATCATGCCATGCATTTCTTCAAGCTTTATTTCTGTCCTGGTAAATAGGGGTAAGACTGATTTTTTCCATCCTAGTAGGGGTATCAGACAGGGAGACCCTATATCACCTTACATTTTCATAATGTATATGGAAAGGTTATCAAGGAGCATTGAGACTCAAGTGCATCAAAGGGGTTGGTTTCCCATCAAAATCAGCCACTTTAGGCCAAAAATCTCACATCTATTCTTTGTCGACGACCTAACTCTGTTTGCTAGGGCAAACACCAAGAATTGTGTCACAATCATGGATACTCTATACCATTTCAGTAGCATATCTGGTCAAAAGGTCAATACCATAAAGTCCAAAGCTGTCTTCTCCAATAACTGCCACTAGGATACCATAGATATCTTAGCAAGTACTCTGAATATCAAGCCTAGCTCTTCCTTTGGGAAATACTTAGGCTTCCCAATTTTCCACAAGAGGCCAACCAATAGAGATTTCCAGTTCATCATAGATAACATGCAAACTAAGATAGAATGAACATGGCTGGGAGAACTACATTAGCTAAGTCATCACTGGGTGTATTCCTAGCCATGTCATGTAGTACATTAGGTTACCTGCCCAGGTGTGCAACCAAATAGATAGGATTCATAGGAATTTCATATGGGGAACCACTATTGAGAAGAAGAAAATGCATCTGATTAAGTGGGGTATCATTACTAAGCCTAGAGAAACATGGGGTTTTAATGTGCATAAAGTTGACCTTAGGAATACTGCTAGCCATGCTAGTTTGGCTTGAAGGATGTATAACAACCCTCAGGCCCTGTGGGCCAGAGTGTTGTTCCACAAATACTGCAATAGCAATCACCATGGTAGGCACATTGCCTCCAGAACCTGGACTAGCATCAAAAATAGGTGGAACGTGTGGAGAGATGCTAATAGGTGGATAGTGCATAAAAGGTGATATAATCAACCTCTATAATGAAAGATGGATCTAAAACTTAAAAACCCCTTAGAGCTTTAATTAGTGGCCCCCTTAACAGGGGAGAGGAGAACAGAACTCTGGCCACATGTCTTCTAAATGGCCAGTTCATCCCCAACATGCTTCCCTTCAACCTCCCTGATAGTGTCCTTGCAAGTATAAACTCCACCATTTGTAATGCTAACCCACTTAGTATAGACAAAATTGTGTGGAACAGGACCCATAATGGTCTATTGTCCACCAAATCTGTCTATGCCATGATCCTTGGCCAATCTGAGAATCTACACCAAAGTCCAGGTCTGAATTTCACTCGAATTTGGTAAAGCAAGGTGCCTAACAAGATAAAATACTTCCTGTGGCTGCTGACTCATGACAGACTCCCCACTACAAAGCACCTGCAAAACAGAGGGATCAATTTGAATCTCAGGTGCTTCTTTAATGACAAAGAAGATGAATCAATTGAGAATGCCAGAGTCAGCTATGAGAATGCCAAACTATATTGGGATAACCTATCCCACATGAGCTTAAATAACCTTAGAATCAATACCAATAATACTTCCACAACAAAAAATTCAACTCACTCCTCAATGGGGAGAATTGATCCCTTTCTGCCTATGGGAGATTTGGCTAACCAGAAACAATAATTGCTTCAATGGAAAGAGAGAGCATGTATCATGTAAAAATGCCATAGCTAAACCTGTTGAGTTCATCCATGTGGCTGGGGAAAGCAATGACATCACTACAAATGTCCTATATGTCAAGTGGCATCCTCGAAGGAGAGGCCACTATAAACTCAATACAGACGGGGCAACCTTTCAAAATGGCCTAATAGGGGGAGTAAGAGGAGTAATCCGAAACAACAATGGGTATTAGGTGTTGGGATTCATGGAAAAAATAAATTATACCAATACTCTTCACTCTAAACTAACATCTCTAATGCAGGGACTAAAAATGACAGTATCAAACAACTTCATGCCTTTGGAGGTCAATATAAACTCAACAGAGGTAATACACAGTATCAATAAAGGCAATCTGATTTATGAGGCTATCTCCTAGACTAGCACAACTTAATGATTTCGCTTCGATTAACACACGAGACAAGTTCCAGGATAGCACAGAAGATCACAATTCCTCACACACACATTGCACATGACTCAATCAAGATGGTTCTGTTCAACTCTCAAGTCAAGCAAGCACATATAATTGAGAAGTTTTAAGCAATATTGCACTGGAATACAAGTCAAACAACTGATAGAAAGGCGTCACAATAGCTATTTATTTTACTTAGGTATCACAATTCAAATCAAATATACAGGAAGACAGAGCGCATGCCATAGCCTAATGTGCCAGCACCAAACACGTCAATAGGTACCTCAGAGCAACTCAGTTTCTTCCTAACCCACTCCTAAAAAGAAAAGTATCCGGTTTGAGCTACACCTTTGGAAAAGAACCGACGCCCAAAAAAATCAAGGGATCCTACCTAACTATCCTAAAAAAAATAATCTTTTTGGTGTTTTTTTTAATCAAACTTTAATCCCTCAAGAAAATTATCCAAAAGATCCATCGTCGGAAAAAGTTCGAGCTTTTTCTGGTTTTTTTTATCTTTTTCTCTAAAACTAGACTAAGTAAAAACTACTAAAAAGAAACAAATTTATGCAATTTATACAATGTACATCACATGAAGTAGTTCTCCCACCCTACACTTAGTATATGCATAGTCCCCTATGCATATATAAATGTAAAGCAAAGTAGGGTGAAAAGAAAACTCTCTGCTAGTCGGAGTCCTCCTCCTCAGCATGCCCACCAACCGCATCTCCGGGCTCATCATCATCATCAAGTCCTAGGGGCACCAAAGCCATGGTCCCCGTGACTTCATCACCAATCTCATCCTTAGTGTCAGAGCCTTTGTAAGTGTTCTCATCCTCTGATGGGTGACCGGGAATGCCAGATGCAATCCCCTATATCTCTTTGGAAGAATTAGACAAATCATTGCGTAAATGCATATACTCCTCGTCTGATACACCCATCTTGCTCATGATCACATTTAAGGAGTTATAGAGATATCTGTTGAAGTTCTCACCTCTTTCATT